GACGAGGAACATGCTTTGGAAACAGTGGCGATGGTCGCACAACAACCTGAATGCAACTGACGCCACAGAAACGCACGCTTAAAAATGGTTAAAACGGCAAAATCTGTGCTGTATGTATCTCACCACAATAAAAAACAAGTTAATACAGAGAAATTGCACACTGCTATAACATGTGTTACCACCCACAGTCGGGTAGGTGTTCATTAAAGGAATAACCTGCCCCTTGACCTGAAGACCCGACCCTCACTGGGTGACGAGTGGGAGACAGGGACAGCAAACCCTCCGAGTACCAAGCCTCCCTGGGGCAGCTGGTCTCTTCTGGTGGTCTGGGAGCTGCTCTGGGCGGGGCCTGCTTGGACGCCTGGAATCCTGCCAAGTGCAGGCCCCCTGGGCCCACAGCTTCCAGGTGGTCTCTGCTCACACCCGTGGGTGTCTGGGACCCCCAGGGCTTTACCTGGCCAGGACCCCCTGCCCCTGTGGCTCCGAGAGCCGTGCCCACAGGTCCACAGCCCAGGGCTGGCTCCACCATCACCATGCCCAGTGCACAGGCGCTCCGAGCGGCCACACGTCGAGTGCGGCTGGCACGACACCCGAGAGGCAGGAAGGCACGGGGGCGGTTGTTACTGAGGCGGGTGGTGCTGACCGCTACCACTGGCCCAGTTGGCCAGCAGAGCAGAGGGGAAAACAGGGATGAGTATTTACAACTGAGGCGTGCCATCTCCCTGGGATTTGTCGTCCAGGCATGGCAGTCGTGTCTGAGTTAGGGACGCCCTGGAGACACGTGCTGAGCCCAGGCCCCACGCCCGGCCCAAGGCCCCACAGGACGCAGCCTCTCGTGCGTGTGGGTGGTGGAAGCTTCGGGGGCACCTTGTCCTTGTTCCTATGGTTTAACATTTAGAAGAGACACAAGATACGATGTCGGAGCACTGATTAACGATAACTCAAAACTAAAGAGACCCTGGAAGGCGTGGACCAACCCAGTGCTGATATCTGGACTCACATCAAAGCCATGAATACAAACAGCATCACAAAACCTCACCAACGCCCAGAGCCAACCTTTCGACTGTGGCCCATAATAATGACTGAATGGAACAGCCTGGAAAGGCTCCAGAGGAAAGCTCAGGATGCTGGGAGAACCTGAATGGAAAAGGGAAAATGTCTGGAATTATCCCAGCCCTCCTTGCCCACGATCTCCAATGATTCCAAACCGCTTACAGGACAAGACCCAAACTCCCCACTTGGCTGGCAGTTCCTGCCAGGCACACGACACATCTAGCCTCCTCCCGAGAAGCCCGCCCCACCGTGCCCTCTGCCACAACCCACCCTGCAACTCCCAGATGAGCGACATGCACACTGGCGCACGGAGCACAGGGCCTGCATTGCTCCTTCTGTGACTCAGGACTGCAGGTGCCCAAGACGCAGGGAGCTCAGTCCCTGCACCTGGATAGCGAGCGTGGGGAAACCAGGGCAGTTATTTCAGGCTGAAGGACACTCCTTGAATATGATTATCTTTTTACTTCTATTTATTTTTTAGAGACAGGGCCTTGCTCTGTCACCCAAGCTGGAATGCAGTGGCCTCATCACAGCGCACTGCAGCCTCACACTCTGGGCTTAAGCAATCTTCCTAACTCAGCCTCCCGAGGAGCTGGGATGACAGGTGCGTGTCACTGCACCCAGCTGAACATGAATATCTTACCTGACAAGGAGAAGATGTGAATGAACTGAGGGAAGTGACAGAGACACCAGGGTGGGGAGCAGGGAAAAGGAGTGCTGCAGACATGAAGTGGGTTCTATAGCTTCTAAGAAAGAAAGAACATACAGAAAAGGACGTTAACTTCTTAAGATAGTTTCACAACAAGCAGAGGACCCAGAATGACTTCCGGAACATTCCAGCTGATTGCCAGAGCAGGTCCATGTAGCATATCCTGCCGCTGAGCAAACAGTGGTGGTTTCCCCACAGACGCAGATGTGAAGACAGAAGCACCAAAGTCCTCAGCAGTCCCAGAAGCTGCCCGGCCTCCAAGTCCCTGCCAGGTCTCCCCTGTGAGCCCCACCAGCCACGAGGGCTCCGGCCAGACCCTCCCCACACCAGCCCACCAGCTCTGTTTCCACTGAACTCACTGGCTTTGACTGAAGTGAATGAATCACCAGGTCTTCCTTTTAATGTATGTGCTTGGCATTCACTATTTACGGAGATTTCACAGACGGTGGCAGCTCTGGACCCCAGTGGTCCCTGTGACTGGCACCTGCTGGGACAAGCCACCGTGTGCCCTTCCTATTAGAAATGGTGGTCAGAACCCAGAGCAGCTGCCATCCCTGCTGCAGCCAAGGCTGTGACGCCTGCCTGGTTTCTCCCTGGGGACATGGGGAGGCAGGATGGAGAGACAGGAAAGCCAGATAAGACAGAGAAACAGGGATTAGGAAGAAGCTTCCTTCCCACCTAGAATGCCCTGAGGGAACAGCCAAAGGCCACCTTTTGTTCCACGTGTCCAGGCCCCAGGCCCTGAGGAGGGAGCAGACAGAAGAGGCGAGCGCTTGGCCAAACCCACCTCCTGCAGCCTCCCAGCCACCCGCCCTCCGCAGCCACAGTGACGCAGGAGCCAGGGTGGACCGCAGACCCCAGGGCTTGCCACGCCAACCCCCACTTGGCCCCCACCCGGCCCCGCACAGGCTCGGCCGTGCTCTGCCTTGGCAGCCTGGCTGCAATGCACACCACCAGGACACGTTTCAGCGTGATGGCTTTAATAGCGTTTGCAACAAAAACCACAGCTGGATGGAGGAGGGTTTCTTGCATTTTTGTTTTCCCCAGAAATTTAACTCATTCTGACTTACGCTTGGGCTTCAACTATACAGCGAAGAATTTTTCTCTAAATAGGAAACATGTGTTTTGCCTCAAAAAGACAATCTTGTGTGAAACTAGGTTGCTGCTGCGAGGAAGGAGGCTGCATCTGACCAGCGTGCTGCCCTCATCCCTGTGCCCCGCTGGCCCCTTCCCAGCCTGCCCCTCTCCTACTGCTGTACCTGCACACCTGGGTCCTGACTGCTGCTGGCGCTGAACCCTTTCGGGCTCGCCGGATGCCTCCTGATGACAGCACCTGTGCCGTCACAGGGAAAGACAGCAGCCCGGAAGGTCACTGGGGAGCCCTGTTGTGCTCTGGGCTCTCTCCCCCTTCACACTGACATTCCCGTCCCTCCCTGGCCTTGAGGTGAAGGGCACCCTGCATGTGGTGCCAGACACCGGAGGTCTGGAAACGGAAGCCCCTTTCTTTTTTTTTTTTTTTATATTTAATATTTACATACATTTTTTTCTTTTTTTTTTAAAAACAATTCTCTGCTGTGCTAAGGAAGCCCCTTTCAAACTGCACAGCCACCATCTGAACCAACAGGAAAAATTCCTGTTTCCCATCCAAAAGCGTCGTTCCCACGTCAACCTGATCGTGACAGTGAGACACAGAGCGAGCGCCTCAGCCGCAGACACCTTCCTAGGGGGAGGGGCACGCTCGGATTCCACCGGCCTCAGGCCCACGCCCCTCAGAGGCTCTCAGGACGCCAGGGCAAACCCAGGCAAGCAGGTTTGCCTTCATAGTATTAAGGTTTCTCAAAAACCCCAAGCAAACAAGACCTATGCAGAGTGAGTTCTGAAATAAACGGGCCTATGAAAAGAAGTGACTAGTAATCTGCAGAATGTGCTAGTGACAGCTAAAAAGCAGCACTTTTGTGTGTCACTGCTAAAAATGACTAAGTGAGACCAGGAGGAAAAAGTGACAAGTGATGTCTATTTAAAATATCTCATAGCAAAGATGAACACTTTTTTCCCAAAAAGGAAAGCGCCGAGCTCAAAGGACACATAAAGTAAGAACTAGTTTTTAAAAGCAGGTTTAAGAGATACGCCGTGTTTACCAACCTCCTGACGGAGGCAGGCAGAGGTGCCCACGACACACTCTTTCCAAAGACGGGGCTGAGCCCCACGTAGACCCCGGCCCGCCTGCTGACTCGCGGGCGCAGGGGCGGAGAGCCCGCACCCCCCACGGACACGAACCACAAGGGCAGGCGCACACTCCCAGCAGAGCAAACACCTTTGCTTCTCAACAAACCAGCTGCCGGGGAGACACGACAGAGGGAAGCTGCACGTTACGTGGCACTGGCCGGCGGGACAGGCCCCACAGGCTGTGATCGCGACAGACAGCGAGATGCCCGGGCAGGCTTCTGCACCAACTTGATATCTGATGATACTAAGGCATTATTTTTATTTTTTATATTTTAAGGTAAGAAAGGCATTACGGTTATTTTTAATGGTCCTTATCTCTTAAAGCCAGTACTGAAGTAGCTGCAAATGAAATGACGTTATGTCTAGGTACAGCCTGGAAACTTATTTGAAAAGGAGGAAGAAAAGCCAGTATGTTATCCAGCAATAATATAGAAAGACAAATTAAACATTTTTACATCAAATACTTAAACTTCAACTTCCTAGGCAAAAGGGGCAAGCCTCCGAGAGAAGCCAGAGCCGGGCAGCGAGACCCCGCGAGCCACCGCCCCGACGGCGCGTGCTCACATAGTGCCTCGCAGAACACGGACACAGGCGGCAGGCACACATCCAGAGCACACGTGCACGTACGCGTGCAGCAAAGTGCACTCCACACACCGCACACACACGCATACATGTGCATGCCCGTGCTGAGCGCACACACAGCATGCAAACACACGTGCACAGGCACACTCACAAAGTACACACACGCGCGTGCGCAGATGAATACACAGAAGTGGGTGCCAGGGCAGCCGTGTGCGTGGCGAGGTGTCCGAGAGCCGTGGGTGTCTGCATCCCATGAGGCGCATGCACTCACATCGGGCACTGCCTGTGCTCCCTGCGAGGTGGCAGCAGGGGGGTGGCACAGCCCCTCCCGGTGCAGCTGGTCCCGAGCAGGTTCCCATCGGGAGGGGAAGGAGCAGCCTGTGAGTGCAGGGATGCCACGCCAGCTACCAAGGCTCTGGGGACACCTTACCTGGGCCAGTTCCTTGGCTTCCCCCTCGGAGAAGAGTGGCTGGCTCATCTGCAGCTGCAGTGGCCCGTCCGCCTGGGCCCCTGAGGGTGGCTCTCGGTGTGCGGTGCAGCCCGTCAGCCCGGATGCTGGAAGGGAAAAGCATTGTCACAGTCAGGGTGACATCTTCCAGAAGGTGCAAACCACCAAGAGCACTCAGGACTTCAGAGAGCGGTACCCAGGAGGGTGGCGGCCCTGCAGCCTGGCGGAGCGTCCCCCGTCATGTCACTGGTCCTCTGCCCAGGCCTCTGTGAGCCACACCACACCCCCCAAACATTCAGGGGTGATTCTATTTCTACCTCTCAGAAGAGAGGCCCTTTATCCAAGAGTGGTAATTTTTTTTTTGGAAACGACTGAAGGTTTGGAGTAGAAAACACAAGACTCACTGGCCCCTAGTGAAATGCACACAGAGCCCAGGACTGGGTCGGTGCAGTGACATCCACGTCATCTGAAGCACGCCGTGGTTCTGCAGAGCACCTGATGTGGCTGCCCGCCTAGGCCAAGCGAGGCTGACCGTCCAAGTGGGCCATGAGTCAGAGTTGCCCTGCGGTCAGGGCACATGGGGCTGGGCGGTCTCACCTCAGGTGGTGCAGGCAGTGCTAACCGCGTGGCTCGTGGCCGCCTCCCGCAGAGGGCCACCTGTCCTTTATTTGGAGAGCCTCCGCACCTCCCGGCCTAGATAAGGGCTCAATTAACTTCTCTTGTTTGCTCTTCTCCATAGCACCCAGCACCCCAACGTCTGCTCATGAGGATGCTGGGACAGGGAGTGGGATGGGGGACGGGGAGGGTGGGTGGCCTCAGCGCCCCTCCAGGATCCCACTGCGGAAAGAGCCCCTGCTCCCCTGACAGGGGCTGGGACGAGGCAGCCCGGGAGCCGCTGCTGACCATGCCGTCAACCACACTGTCAGGAAAGAAAGGAAAAGGAACTACATCTGGGGGTGAAGCAAGAGCGGGGCCCAGCTGGCCAGTATCCAGGACGCCCAGCGAGACCCGCCCTCCATGGGGGGAGACCTCACTCTCGCTTACACCCCCGGCTCCAACCTTATCACCTCTTCAGATTCTCAAGTTCACTGTCCCTGGTTCCTGGTAGCACAGGCTGAGCAGAGGAGTGCCAGCCACGCCCAGGTCAGCATAGGGACACAGGTTTCCAGGGGGCCCTGAAGAGGGACAGGAGCTAGGCCAGGTGGAGAGAGCTCAGGCACTGGAGCTGGGGAAGGAGGCCCCTCAACCTCACACCCGCCACACAGGCACATTTTCCCCAGAACCCCTCACTATTCCACTCTTCAAAAACAAAACGCACCACGCTGATCTCGTGACCTGCCTCTGCCCATGTGCATACAGATGCATTTCCCATGTTCTGTCCCAGCCAGCGCCTGAGCTGCTAATTAGCACTTCTGCTAATCAGAGCTTCCCCCAGGAGGTGGCTGACAGCCACTACCGGCCGGGTCCTGGGGAGAAGCGCTTCTCTGAGCCAGGCAGCAAGGTGCGAGGCTAGGTCGGGCTGTAACACAGAGCGACAACGAAAGGACGTGTCCCTGGTAACTACCAGCCTGGGCCTGAGACTCCCTGACGGTGCCAGCACACCCTCCATCAGCAGGGCGGCGTCTCTCACGGCCCAGGGTGGGCGCCCTCCCTCCTCAGGGCACCCTGTGCCCCACGCAGGCCCCACCAGGTCCTCTGTCCGTGGGGTCTGTCTCCCACCTCCAAGTGCTGACCTGGGGGCATCCTGCTCTCCTGGGCACCTCTAGCCGGGCCCGCAGCTCCGACGCCGGCTTTGAGGGCACAGCCTCCATGCCGCCCTGTTGTGCGCCAGCTTCTGTTTCAACACCTGAGGCTGCACCACAGAGAGACACACACTGACCGCTCCTGAACTTTAACAAATGGGATTCCACTTAAATACCCAGAAATCTGGAACAGAGGATGTTGCTAATTCCAGGCCAGCACAGGGGACCCAGCCCTTCCTGGGACCCCTGGGGGCTCCGGTTGGAACTTCTCTGCCTCAAAAGACGGCCTGAAGCTGCTGACCTCGCCCAAAACCCGCTGGGTCCGTCCAGCACACGCCTGTGCTTCCTGCTGGTGGTCCACCTGCTGTGGGGATAGGCGGGGGTCCCTGGGAGAGGCACAAGCCCAGGGACGGCTCTCAGGGAGCAGGGCTCAGGCAGGGGAGGCCCGGCAGCCTCTCTGAGGTGGTGACGGCTGGCCAGCAACAAAGAAAACACTGGAAGCCAGATGGAACCCTTGGGAAACACTATGCACAGCCCCTAGGAGGGTGTGCAAAGGCTCTGCGTCCTGAGCCTTCCTCCCAAACGCACAGCCCAGACTGACCACGAGAAAACACGAGACAAACCCTGAGGGGCTGTCCTGCACCTTGGACCAGGCCTCTTGCAGGTGGTCAGAGCCCCAGGGGCCAGGGAGATGTAAGGCCGAATGGTGAGCTGGGGTCCTGGGAGCTCCTCAAACAGGAGGAGGAGATCTGTCTAGAATAAAATAAAAAGTGGGTTCTAGTGAAGACAACACAACCATCACATGAAGGAAGGTGTTAACAGGGTGGGGAGCCGGGGAGACGCAGGGACTCTGTATTATCTCATGCCTCTTCTGTAAATCTGAAACTGTTCTAAACTAACAAGGTTATTTTAAAGATGCAATGCAGAAAAACAGCTACCTGCAACAGCGTGTCCCACACCCCACATGACCAGCAGGGCCCAGGCCAGGCTGTGACTTTTCCTGGCTGGCACAGACATCACCGCCCAGGTCTCCGGAAAGTCTCCCCACCCAGAGTGTCACTCACAGGATGAGTGCCCGACCAGTGCTGCACGACTGCCACCGTGTGGCCAGGCGCACACGAGCGCTCACCCAGGGAGGCAGGGATTTCTTTCTGAGACAGCAATCATGCTTTCCACCTCCCCGGCCTGCAACACTTCCAACCAGGAGCAGTGAACAGAGAGGAACTGGCACAGAGTCACCCTGCTGTGACATGCGATGACAACAGCAGCAAGGTGGCAGTGACAGGGAAATCCTCACGGGCCGTGTAAGTCCACTGAGATCCCAGCAAACTGGATGCCACCTTGCTGGGGCACCCCAGCTGGCTTCCCACTGGTGTGTGACCCCTGTGCTGTGCGGCCCCCGATTTACCATGTGGAGGCACACCCACCCCAGAAGAAGGATCACCCACCCAGAGGAAGGAGCACCCACCCCAGAGGAAGGAGCACAGAGCCTAGCGGGGGGTATGCTGGGGAAGTCAGTACTGAGAAGGAGCAATCTGCCATCACAACATGGCTCAACACACGCACACAAGGAAAAATGACTCCAGTGACAGTCCTGCTATAGCCCACACGTGCTGTAGTCACGTCACAGTTACTCAATACCACCAAGGTCTGAGTGATACTATGCAAGTAGCTACAGGCTCTCCCTGTGGCCAAAGCCCATAATCTTCGACCTTAGGTAGGAAAGATCCCCCTGGATGAACAAACGTGGAAAACCCTTAAACCACATGGGAACCACCACACAGAGGAGAGACTGCTCCTGCACACTTAGTCCAGCAGGGACTGCCCTGAGAACCCCACTTCCAGTAAACCCGGCCGGTGAAACACATGGGTGCAGACAGCACAAAAGGTGACACAAACCTGCAGTAGGATGACTCAGCACATCAGCTCCCAGAACCTCTCAGGACCCACACTGCGATGCAGCCCACTGGCAAGTACAACCTCCCCTCTCTCCCGAATCACATGCTTGAGCCACCTCTTCAGGCTTCTTCCACTAGGACAGTCCCCACCTGCATAGGATGTCCTCACCCGTCCTCCCTGAGTCACATGCCTGTGGCACACCTCTGCATTCCTCATCCGTTAGCACAGTCCCCACCTGCACAGGACGTCTTCACCCCTCCTGAGTCACATGCCTGTGCCACCTCTTCAGTCCTCACTCACCAGGACAGTCCCCACCTGCACAGGATGTCCTCGTGCCTCCCGAGTCACACACCTAGGTCACATGGTCTGTCCACTTGGGTAGCTGGTGGAGCCCCTCTTCCTACCTCCCTCCAGCCTGTGGCACACCGGGACTCTGCCTCTCTGCTCGCTCCCGTTCATGCAGGTCATGGCGCCCTTTGGTCCCGTTCGTGCAGGTCATGGGCACCCATGGCCCATGTTGAATGATGGATGCTATGTTACATCTCATCCCATCTCTCTGTCCTGTTTGTGTCCTCTTCTCTGTCTGAAACCTCCCCTCTAATTCAATTCCAGGATCATGGCCAGCTCTCTCTGATACAGTCATGTGTCACACCCAAGGAGGGTTTTGTGTCTGTGCCATGTTAAAGGTGTGTACCGCAGTCCTGGGGGGCCCAGCTGGCAGTGGTCACATGGCGGACAGCAGACTGCAACCGTCCCACCTGTCCCCACACCTGTCCAGGAGGTGTGGGGTGCTAGGCCACCTCTCACAGGGCATGTGCAGGCGGGGCTGGGCGGCCAGGCCTCCTGCTATGGGTTATCTGCTGGCTGGCACTGCCTACCTTTCTCAGCCTATGTAGCTCAGCTTCTGTGTCCTGCCTTGACCTAGGGGCCACAGAAAAATCTGGAAATACCAAGAATGCAAGTTTTTAAATTAAGTTTTTTTTTTGTTTTTTTTTTTTTTTTTGAGACAGAGTCTCACTTTGTTGCCCAGGCTAGAGTGAGTGCCGTGGCGTCAGCCTGGCTCACAGCAACCTCAATCTCCTGGGCTCAGCGATCCTATTGCCTCAGCCTCCCGAGTAGCTGAGACTACAGGCATGCGCCACCATGCCCGGCTAATTTTTTGTATATATATATATTTTTAGTTGGTCAATTAATTTCTTTCTATTTTTGGTAGAGACGAGGTCTCGCTCAGGCTGGTTTTGAACTCCTGACCTTGAGCGATCCGCCCGCCTCGGCCTCCCAAAGTGCTAGGATTACAGGCGTGAGCCACCGCGCCCGGCCTTAAATTAAGTTTTAAAGTAAATATTTCCAACATTTTGGTGCTTATGGGACCAGAGCCATCACCACATATATTTAATGTTGAAACTTGAAGACATCTAGCTCCATTCATGTGGGGCGGAAACAGACTACTGAAACTGAAATCAATCACTTAAGAATAAAAAAGAAGGTGACATAGTAGCAAATCTCTCTCACTTTTAACAGTGAGAGATTTGGCAATCAAAATTCGTAAGGAAAGATGATTACTTATATACACAGAGTATACATATATATATACACACACATACATACCAAAGTATGTACCTACAGTATATGTGTATTATATATATATTTACCTGTGCATATACACATATTAGCTACAATGCTCAAATGAGAAAATGGAGTACTTTATGACTTTGGGATTCCTTAATCAGGGCTCAAAAACAAACTTAAGGGGGAAAGTGTAGATGTTACCACAGTAAATTGAAAGATTTCTATAACAGAGGAAGATGGTTTGAAAGAAGTATCTGCAGCCTCCAAAGTCTACAAGTAATTAATATTTAGAACAGATAAGGAATTCTTGCAAATCTCTGGGGGAGGGGGGGAAGCACAATAGAAAAGAAGAAAACAGAACAGGCAATACACAGAGCAAAACTGCAGGCCCAGAACAAACAAAAAACATCAGCTCCACCTCACAATGAATGAAAGGGTGAAAGTTAAAGTAACATCGAGATGCCACCTGACCCCCACGAGAATGGCGAACTACACAGTCAGGTTTCCCGGCACTCGGGGGAGGCGGGGCCTGAACGCTGTCCATGTGCAGAGCACCTGGCGTCTGGCCCCTCAGCCCAGCCTGGGTCAGGCCCAGCCGAAGCTCATGCCCCACATGGGGCCTGCAGGAGAGCCCCCAGGGCCACTCAGCACAGCACCTTGAGAACGTGACACACTGAACCACACTGCACAATTCTCAAAGATACAGACCCCTGAACACATGTCTTAGCAATGGGCTGGGAACATGTCAATTAAATGACCAGGGACACAGGAGTGTGGCAGGGCAGGGGTGGAGGGACAGAGACCTACCAGAAGCGGTGCGGGTGGTACCAGTTATAACCGGGAGGGCTGGTTCTCAAGTCAGAGGGAGGGAAGAGAGAGACCAGCAGGTGAGAATGCTGAGCTTGGAGCTTCCTCCTGTTCTGAAACGTGCATTCTGAAAGCCCTTCTGACTGTGTCTCAGTTCGTTCTGTGTTGCTTCAACACAATACCAAAGACTGGGCAATTTACAGAGAAAAGAGGGGCATACAGCTCACGGTTCTGCAGGCTGGGAAGCACTACCTTCTGGCAAATGCTTTTGGGATGTTTCCTAACAAGGCAAAGGTGAAAGTGGAAGCGGAAATGTGCAAAGAGACAGACCCAAGGAGCTTCCTGGCTTTAGAACAACCCACTCCAATCCATCCCTGCAGGACTGATCCAGTCTTGCCAGACCCAGAATCCACTCGCTACCGAGAGAGTGGCACCAAGCCGCCCACACGGGGTCTGCCCCTGTGCCGTCACCTCCCAAACTTCAGCGTGAGTTCTGGTGGGGACAAAAACCATATACAGACCATGGCACTGACCTACTGTGAAATCCATGTGTCTATCAAGTGTATGACAAATTTTGGCAACTCAAGGTTCACAGATGTCAAGTACTATGAAGCATGGTCTGTAATTATTTCTATGTATAAACAAACAAATGGACCATCTCTCGTGAGCTGGAAGCCAACAGTGGCTCTCAGTCATGCGTCTGCACAGTATTTCCTGGGCACAGGCCGGGTCTGGCTGTCATTTCAGAAGTCCACGCACACACTGCCTTGCTGGTCACCCACCTGCGTGCCAGACTGACGTGATCTTCTCCGCAGCAGGAGAAGCTTTCATGCTTCTGAGCATTGAGGCGTCTTCCAACAACTCGATCTTCTTGCTGAACTGCATTTCTAAAATGGGGATGACCAACGGCAGCTTGGCGGATATCACACGATATGCCACATCTGGCTTTCCGATAAACCGCTGGCGGATGCTAATTTCATAAGGTGAGTAGACCTTAATGTCATCGACGTCTTCTCTTTCAAACCTGTGCATGAGCAAAGAACTGGAGTCATGGATTTCTAACCCAGAGACAAGGACGGTGAGCCTCCCTGGCTTGACGTGAGACTCTGTCCTTTGGGAAATAATGGCAGGAATTTTGATCACTATCCCTTCCTTTCCAAAAGGTTCGCAACTGGCCGCCAAGGCACCTTCCCTGGGCTTTGTTTCTGGAGGTGTCTTCCAAAGTTTAGAGCCAAAGGGCCACCAAGAAGGAGATTCCAGTTCCGTTAGCAATCTGAAAAGGCAAAGAACACAGAGAAAAACAAACCGATCAATTTTGAAAGAGTAATACTTTTGTTTTTAGTTTTTTTTAGAAAACTGCTTTAACCTTTGCAAAGAACATTACCAATTTATAGTGTTTCTCTTCCCTACTCACTCAACGGAGGAGAGAGAGCAGGGATTATCATCTCCATGTTTAGGGGAGAAAACTGAGGCTCAGGGCAGTACAGACATCTGCCTGCAGATACAAAGCCAATCAGGAGTGAGATGTAGCAAAACACACACCTTTTGACTAGGATATTCCTCTTTCCACATGGTGCTGCCTTGACCTGGGTAATTTGGATTCAAAATAAATCCTGACCTTAATCCCTAGAGAGCTAGCTAAAAGAACTTTCTGTGGTAACGTAATGTTCTATGTCTGCACTGTCCAATATAGCAGGAGGCCAAAGTGGCTACTGAGGCCTTGGAATGCAGCTAAAGTAACTGAGAAACTGAATTTTTAACTTAATTAAATTTTAATGTTGTTAGTGGCTACCACATTGGACAGCAAATCTCAATAGTAACCACTAATAACAAACAATAAGAAATATACCTAAAAAGTCAATAGAAGAGAGAAAAATGAAGATAGGAAAGGAAAAACAAAGGAACAAAGATCAAATGGCACAAACAGAAAACAGTGAGATGGTAGGATTAAACTAAACCATATCAGCATTCACACTAAACACAGATGGACTAAATCCTCTAATTAAAAGGCAAGCCTGGATAAAGAAATCGTATCTGCCTATATCTTTGCTTACAAGAGACATGCTGTGAAATATGAAAACACAGATACATTGGAAGCAAAGGATTGGAAACAGGATATACCATGCCCAAATTAAACTTTAAGACAAGAAGTATTACCAGAGGTAATGGGCATCACATAATAATCAGAGAGTCACTTTAACAGAAAGACTTAACAATATTACATATGCATGCACCTAATAACATAACTTCAAAATCCATTCAGCAAAAAATTGACAAAACTAAAAGGGGGAATAGATGATCACAGTTGTAGATTTTAACACATTTCTCTCAATGATTGATAGAGCCTTCTTCCGTACACACCCTCAGGACCAGCCTCTGGGGCTACCTCGGCAGTAGGCTGGGGACAGAGAGCAGACCTGAGCTCACCAGGGCACAGGCTTCCTGGGGCAGCAGTGACGGCTGATGCTCTGTGTCTGCGTGGCCAGGCCATGGTGCCCAGGCCGTGGTGTCCAGATGGTTTCAGGCGAGGATCCACCCTCAGTCCAGCGCTTGAGCCTGCGCTGAGCACAGATATGCTAACCCAACTCCGGGTCTAGGTTTTGCCCACCACAGCCACAGGTGCCTGGCAGGGACATACTCACTGTCCTTTGAATGATTACAAAAACTAGAAACAATACATTTCAAAACTATTTTTAAAGAAATAACAATAGAAATTTAAAACACATAAAAATTTGAGCTTGGTGAATACGGTAGATGACAGAGAGTTTCCAATTCCAGCCTCTGTAGTTTGAGCAGCATTGCTTGTGCGACATGTGGTCTTGCAAGAGGATGGGGCTGTCTCTATTAACCAATCTTGGCTGCTTAATCACAAGCATCCTCATGATTTCATCCAACTGGATGCAGGAGATATCCACTGCGATTGATGGACCAGGTTTCATGAAGCTGCAATGGATAATACCAGTGCTGGACCACCAAACAGACACCATTAGCTTTTTTCATATTTGGGGGGTTTTCTTTTGTTTTTTTGTTTTTTTTTTGAGACAGAGTCTTGCTTTGTTGCCCAGGCTAGAGTGAGTGCCGTGGCATCAGCCTCGCTCACAGCAACCTCAAACTCCTGGGCTCAAACGACCCTCCTGCCTCAGCCTCCCAAGTAGCTGGGACTATAGGCATGCACCACCATGCCTGGCTAATTTTTTCTATATATATTAGTTGGCCAATTAATTTCTTTCTATTTATAGTAGAGATGGGGTCTCACTCTTGCTCAGGCTGGTTTCAAACTCCTGACCTCGAGCAATCCGCTCACCTCAGCCTCCCAGAGTGCTAGGATTACAGGCGTGAGCCACCACGCCCCACCACACCCGGCCTAATATTTGGTTTTTGACTGTGTTTCAGCACTTCATCTTTATCCATCATCCATGTGCTGAATGCTTGCTGAACACTGTCAAAAAGAATCCATTTTTCATCAGACATAACAATATGGTGTAGAAATGGTTGGTCTTTATGTCGTGACAGCGAAGAAAGGCAAGCTTTGAGACGATTTCTCTTCTGACACTTATTTAATTCACGTAGAACTCATCTACCCAGCTTCTTTACTTAGTCCATGTTTCAAATGGTCCAATACTGTTGGAATAATAACGTCAAACCTTGCTGCTAATTCATGTGTAGGTTGAGATGGATTCACTTCCACTACAGCTTTCAGCTCATCATTATCCACCTTGGTCTCAGGTCAACCACATGGCTCGTTTTCAAGATTAAAATCATCAGAACAGAATTTCTCAAACCACTGAAGTACTATGTGTTCATTAGCCACATGCTTCCCAAATGCTTCATTGATATTTTGAGCTCTGTGTTGCATTGGTTCCACAGCAGAACTCATATTTTTTAAAAATGCAAATGTTTTACTTATCCATGATTTCACAAAAATTCATCTAAAAGAAATTTGAAAGATAATCACAAGCCAAAACATGTGTTTGAAAGAATGAGGATGTACCTTCACAATAAAAATAAAACTAGAAGTGTCAAAGTGAAATGTCAGAGATATCAACTGTCAAAATTAGTGCTTAAGGAAATTGGACATTTTATTTATAATAACCTAATAAACCATGAAACACAGAGAAAAATTTTTTGACAAAGTGAAGAAATTACATTTAAACATTCTATAAATTTCATGCCAACGACACAATGAAAAATCAGAACAGAGCTCACCAACCAGGCTGACACCAGACCTCTCTACCCTCTGGGACCCGACAGAGGAGGGCCTGTCCAGAACCACCAAAGCAAAGCCACAGACACAGTAACGTGTCTAGCATACAGCAGGTGCTCAGCATGCTGGATGTGGACTGAACACGGTGCGGTGGATAGGCCCGTACCCGCATGCAGGCCTCCACATGTGTGGCCTCCCTGTGGGAGTGCCCGGTACAGCATACACTGCAAACCCACCTGTCAGCCACCTCCAGGTCCGACTCCATCTTGTCCAGGCCCCTCATGACGCCATCCAGCTGCTGGCCCTGGTCGTGAAGGACTCTCGCGGTGTCCTCCAGGCGCCTCTGGGAGCCAGCCATGAGTGCCGTGAGCTCCTGCCCCCGGGTCCTGGGGGCGGGTGCCCCGGCCGTGGGTCCGGGCTGCGACAGCAACAGCTCTCTCCAGAAGTGCTCGATGATGCTGAAGACCACATTCCGACTTGGCCGTAGGGAACCGAACCAGTGCTTGGCGCCACTGTTCTCCAGGACGGTGAGGGAGCTGAAGATGAAGTGCGAGGCCTCCTTCTTGATCTCGGCGATGCTGGACAGGGGAAAGCCAACAAGAATCTCTCCCGTGCTGTCAGCCGTGAATCTGAGCGCCTGCGGCGTCAAGGACAGTCTTCCTGGCACCCATCGCTTCTCGAGCTCTGCGTAGTAGGTGCACGGCCAGGTGTGGATGACGCAGATGTCCCTGCTCATCTGCTCCTGGGCTGGTCTATGCCGAGGGCCAGGCCAGGCTTCCGACTCTGAAGGAGAAGTGACAGGAGTCAGAGGAGGGCAGCGCAGGAGACCCCATGCAGGCCTCAGTCTCTGGCCTCACTCTCGGGCCCTTCCCAGGTACAGTCTGTGACGGCCTCTCTCTACGCACATTCAGGTAAGTTTCTACTCACACCCCCCTTTGGAAACGCTTTCTTTTTTGAGACAGAGTCTCGCTCTGTTGCCCAGCTAGAGTGCAGTGGTGTGATCACAGCTCACTAGAGCCTTGAACTCCTGGGCTCAGGCGATCCCCCTGCCTCAGCCTCCCGACTTCTGTGACTGGCTAATTTTCTAATATTTGTAGAGACAGGGTCTTGCTATGTTGCTCAGGCTGGTCTTGAACTCCTGGCCTCAAGCGATCCTCCCACCTCAGGCTTCCAAAATTGGGAATACAGGGATGAGGCACTGTGTCTGGCCCCTTTTGACATTTGTATATGCTCATTTAATGCACAGAAGCAACAATCCTGTAGACAAACTTCCCCCTCTCGTAGCCCCAGCTGACCTCGTGGAGTTCTACGCCGACTGAGAAGTCTCGGGTGACAGTCCCACCCCCTTGCTGTACAGATCAGGAGTGGGCCTCACGTGAGGTCCAGCCATGAGTCTGCCACTCTGCCAGGCCTGGGGATGCCCGGCCCTGGCTCTTGGGGGCAGAGTGGTGGCCCAGGGGCAGCGTGGCACTCGTTCCACTTCTCTCTCTCACACACGCAATTTATTTGACATGACTTCCCTTGTAAAAACAGGCGAACAAATAACTCGTGCTGAGATATCGAAAAGCGCAGGCTCTCCGCAGCACGGCAGGAGGCTCTGGGCTCTGGGATCCTCGCTGCTCAGGCAGCGTGAGCCCTTCCTCGCAGCAAGCGCGCGACAGCACAATGACGCGGTCCCCGGCTCGGGAGCCTAGGGACATCGGAATTCCATTAATCTTCTCACGGTCACACTGCTTGGTGTAACCTCCGTACTAGACACCGCATCGCACGGTACAGAGCAGGATGAGGCGCGCAGAAGAGTGCCACCTGTGCTGCAAGAGCTTGAGTGGAAATGAGATTCTAACTACCCCAGAGCAGAGCAGTCTGGGAACAGCCAGTGTGGGGTCAGATGCACACTGCAGGGCACGCAGCAGCCACTGCAGTGCAAGTATGGCTTGACTGTGGCCACCTGGCTGGGCCCCTTGTCCACGGTGTGGCCCATGAGGCCACAGTCTTTGTCCCACAGCAGGCAGAGCCCACCCCGCTCCCCCCTGGGCGGTGCGGGCCACGTGTGCGTGCATGCACTCCCCACACTGCAGCGGGCCACCTGTCCACGGGACCGGGAGCCCCAAAAGGGCAAGGGCCACATTTCATCCCTCACAGTTCCTCGGCGACAACCTCATCACTGAAGGAACAGGACAGACTCTCATGGTTGGTGGTGTCCATTCAGATGGGACCCTGGGGACGGGAGCCTTGATCAAATGCCCTCTGACGGGGCAGATTCCATCCTGGCCAAACTAATGGGAGTGACGTGGGGAAATCTGCCAGAAGCCAAGACGGTGCAGAAACACGGGGTGCAGGTGGTCGGGAGGCAGTTCCCCACCTCGCCTCTGCGTGTCTGTGGCAGCTTCCGTCCCGTGCTATCTCGACGGGTGCCTGCACAGGAGGCAGCCCTGGGCCGTGGCTGGCATCTCCCACCTGGTCAGCGAGGAGACCTGACCTGGGTGACGAGGACGCTGTCTGCTTTGCGGGCAGAATGAGGCAGGCTTGCTAACAGGCCCCTCACTGAACTGGGGGTTTCCTGAGCTCAGGGCAGCCTAGCTGTGACTCAGATCCACCGTGGGACTCAGGCAGACAGGAAGGCCTGTGTCCCCAGTTGTGACGTCTGGCCCCAGGGTCTCCTTAAGAAAGGCGGCAGGCTCACTCACTGGCCTGCAAGGAGGGTGCCTCCCGGAGCCTTGGCTGCCCATCAAGGATGTGCGCTACATCTGCAAGGCCGTCCTGCCCTGGAGTGTGGCTCCTTCGTGCCAGATGACTTCCCTCCGATAAAACTAGATATTTAGGCAGCAAACTCCACCCACCCACTCCCTCAACTCATAACACCCTAGGATGGTTCCACTCAAGGTAACATCAAAACTTCCTCCGCATTTTAATTCAGTTGACAAATCAGCATAGGAGGCCAGGCAAGGTGGCTCATGTCTGTAATCCTGGCACTTTGGGAGACCAAGGCGGGAGGATTGCCTGAGGCCAGGAGTTGGAGACCAGCCTGGGCAACACAGTGAGACTACGTCACCACAAAAAAATAATTATCCAGGCATGGTGGCACCTGTAGTCCCAGCTACTCAGGAGGCTGAGGCAGAAGGATCGCTTGAGCCCAGGAGTTTGAGGTTGCTGTGAGCTAGGCTGATGCCATAGCACTCTAGCCTGGGCACGGATTAAGACTCAAATAATGAAAACGTCAGGATTCCAGGGACCCTAGACATCATCTAGGCCAGCTGGCTTGGTTGTTTTTGGTTTTTGTGTCAGGGATAGGGTCTCACTCTGCTGCCCAGGCTGCAGTACAGAAGCATCATTGTACCTCCTGGGCTCATTGGATCCTCCTGCCTTGGCCTCCCAAAGTGCTGGCATTACAGGTGTGAGCCACTGCCGGCAGCCTATATATTCCCACACAACACCACCTCACACCCCACGGACTAAGCTGGCGTGAGCCCTAAGTGGCATGCGCTCACCCGTCCCTTATCTCCCACACAGGAACACGCGCTGAGCCCTGTGGACGGCCCCGCCAGACAGGGAAGAAGGCACTCAGATGCCCGGGGCCACGGCTGACACACCCACACCCCTGGCACGCCCACAGCCACAGCAGGGCCCAGTGAGCCCTGACCACAGTCCCCAGGTGTGGTTATGCTGTGGCTGCCACGAGGCCACCCTGCAGGCCCTGGGCTATGTGACACAAAGGTGTCTGCTGCTCAGAATCAAGGGAGGGGAGCCCACCAACTCAGCCACAGTCCTCACAGTGTCAGACACGCCAACGACCACGCCCGTGTCCTGTGCTCCTGGATGAGGGGTGCCCGGTCCTCAGCCATGCCTGGCCTGCGGGGTGAGGGACCACACCTAGTCACCATCATCTCTGTACACCTGGAGAGCTAGATCCAGTGTGAGAAGTGAATCTGCATTAACAGTTACCTGACCCAACCCCCATTCTTGAGCACATACAGCTGGAATGAAATTAAACACAGAATCCCTGAAGAATTATGACACCTGGCACCTCGGCGTCAGAGGAAGCACGCTGCGGTTCCAGCTCTGGCCCTGCCACAAGCTTTACAGCTCCGGAAACGTTACCTCACCTTCCGGACCTGTTTATCCACCACCCAAATAACTGAAACGCCTAAGAACAACACCAGCTCTAAAACGCCCTAAAATTCAAAGAGAGAAGAAATGAAGGAATATTGTAAAATTAGGAGGCAAACAAGATGCTTCTCATTATCATGTTACGGGCAACGAACACCAGAAAGGTGTTCAAGTCTGACCGATACCAAGCAGCAGCCAGAGGAGAAACATGTGGCCATAACTTTTCTGACCACAGGTTTCCAGGGCACCTTTCCCAGAAAACCAAAGTCAACAGGGATCAAGGACAAGGGCGGAAGTGAGAACACCCCACAGTGCGTCACAAGCCGCCCAAACTTGGACTTGGCCCCTGGTGCCTGACCGACACACCTGTCCCCATGTGGAGACCACAGGAACCGGGTCCCTGCTCCCCTCAAGGCCAGGCCCTCCCCACGGGCCCTGGCCCCCACCCTTGCCCGCTCCTGCGCCAGGCACCGCAACCCTTCTCAAGAGCCACACGTGGTCTCTGCCACAACTACGCAGCTCTGTCAGGAAGGTGTGGAGCAGCCACACACAACTCACAACAAAGAGGGAAGGCTGTCTCACTGAAGCCTCACTTGCTAGAATGTGACAGCCAGCCTTGGCTCTCGGGCCACGGCTCCTTCCTAAGAGCCGCCTGCACCTTGACTTCCTTGACGGACTCCACTTCTATGAGCTCCTGTGTTCAATCTCCTTTGCTGCTTCTTCCTCTGACACCTCACTGACCTGGGCACAGCCCAGGGCCTCTCATGCAAGCCCCTCCTCCTAGGTGAGTCCACACGGTCCCATGGAATTGCATAATGTCTCCACACTACTGCCTCCCGAGCACCTCTCCAGCCCACACCCCTCAGGGCTTCAGAGTCAGGCATCTGATCTCCTGCTGGGCAATGCCACGCCACACCTCACAGGCACCCCAACCCGCAAGCACCACTGTCTGCCCTTCTCTCAATAAAGGCACCCGGGGTCCAGGAGTTCCGGATTCTTCTCTTCCATATTCTCCCAATCCCTCAGCGAGTCCTGACAGCTGGCCTGCCCTCCATCCCTGGGCCCACGCCACCACCAGAGGCTCCGGCACTGTCTGAGGTCAACCCACACAAGTGACGCTCTTGGGGAAGGAGTGCACGGTCACCTGGACTGCACTCTCCACACACTGCGATTTGTGTAATGGTCTCTTTCAGCACTTCCATCACTCGTGTGCCTGCTGGGATGCAGTATCAAGTAAACAACCTATTTTTAGCTATTTTCCAAAGTTCCACTGTCTGAGGCAGGGTCCTCCCTCCTGTCCACACCTGGACAACTTCTCAGCTGGCCTTCTCACCTCGCCCTGGCCCCACCACCTGCTTTCCACGCAGCAGCCAATGACACAGTCAGAAACAGAATTAGAAAATGTGGCTGCTTTAGGAAAACACTCCTCAAACCACGTTTCTCCTCTGCTCTCACACCTGAATAATCACCAACGCAAGATGCCCATGACCAAGCGGGGCTTTCCCACACGGCACGCAGCGGACACCAGCTGGGCATCCTCCAAGTCAGTTCCTGCACTGTCTGCGCCAGGTCCCACAGGTCAAGGACTCAGTCCCCAAGACTGACCCTCCCCTGCCGCATGCAAGCCCACGCCTGCAGGGCTTCTGACCAACCCACCACGACCCCCTCCCTCTTGG